CACAGTCCTTGCCCCACCTTCTACTCTCACACTTGGCATGCCATGGTCAAACCTGGACGTTTGGAGACAATGCCATCTGGGGTCTGAAGATGTAAGGGGCTTCACTTCCCACATGGCTGCAATCCAAAGCATGCATTTTCCTAAATGATTCAAGTTTTTGCTTTTCAGTGGCCCATCCTACTCTTATGCTACTTTCTTATTTGAGGTAATAGATTTGACTCTTCACTTGTAAATGTCTTTCTCCATCCAGGTAATAGATTTGACTCTTCACTTGTAAATGTCTTTCTCCATCCAGGCATTAAATCACCATTCATTTTTCTCCACTTAGAAAGTAAGACATCTTGATATTCATATTAATAACATGAAGAACCTGCTAAAGTTTTCTAGAATTCTTTTTGGTTTTCTTATGACTTTAATGTTCAACCTGGTCTCCACTCTAAGATGGTGTTTGGACACTTTATGATGCTGTTTCCCAACAGGGAATGCAAAGCTCTCCCTGGCACAGCCCTAGTTGGCAGCCTCTCTCACTGGGGGCCAGCCCAATGCCCTGCATCCTTTGTTTGAGCCATTCTTCAGGCAGAGCTTGAGCTCTGGAATGGATCTGGTTGGGTTCCAATCCTGACATTGCCTCCATCACTCCGGGTTGCTTAGGTCAGTTTACTCGTTAAGCTTCAGTTTAATCCTTCTAAAATGGGGATGAAAATCCTCGGTACCTTGGGATAATTGTCATGATGGTTAAAGAACAAGTGCGTGTCAGAGAAACATTTAGCAGAGAGACTGGAACACACTAAGTGATCAATGATCACAATTTTTATTGTTCCTCTCTCCACCTTTCAGAATCAGAACACGACTTGGAGCTTGCCTCCATCTTGGAGGGTACGGGCTGCACATCGCAGTGGCCAAGCTGCTGTGAATATTGACATTTTCATTTGTACACCCTTCCTCCCCTGTTTTACCTCCTCTTTGCTTAGAGTCAAGATATCTTCAAAGGTTCATCTACTGCTCCCAGGAATCCATTCTTCCTCCTAACAACTTCGTTTACAAGTCTATCGAACTAGCTAAAAGTTGATGGCATACTTTAAAATTAAGAGTTAGGAAGAACTGCCATAAAATCCATTTCTGGTCCCTTTAAACATCAGGGGGCCCTATCACCCTGTGGAGTGAACGTTGATCTTGCTCACAGAAAGGAGGCCAGCACAGGCTGGGGGCTGGGAGCTCTGGTCTCTGCACCCCTAAAACAATTCTTGCACTCCAATTATCCTTCCTAGTGCTTCTGGACTGGCCAAGTGGCACCTCATCACGCCACCTCTTCCTCCCTCTTGCCCACACCTGCCTTAAAAAACAGGTGAGTCAGGTTTGATGTGGGGGAGTGGTCACTGTACTTCTAAATTTTTCGTATGTTTTTATAAAATTTTATATATTAAAACAAATAAATAGTAAATCACTATAAACTTTCATCAGTAATTGTTTTTGGTAGATTTATTCTAAGAAATTACCAAACCCGTATGTTAGAGACTTCTCCTGAGTGAACAATTATAGTCCCCAAGATATGATTAAGCCATTTTATCAATGCAAAATATAAGTATTAGACAGTATTTAACCATAAAATAAGTGAATTTTTAACTTTAAAAAAGGGGTCGGCTATACTTATCTACCAATGACTAGATCAGAGTATGTAATGAAAAATCTCATTACCTACCCATCCCTATATTTGTTAATTAAACATGTATCAAATTTCCACTAAGAGCAGAGTACAATGAAGGAGATTCTCAGAGCAGTCTACACAGTGGGAAAGGCAGATATATGTGTAAAACCTACAAAGGACAAAAGAGAGTGGGGGGCCAGTAGGAAAGAAACAAGCAGAGACCAAGGAGGAAGGTAGCTGACCTCAATGTTCTAAATTGGATCCCTTGGGTGGCAGCACAAAGGGACCTCATTAAAATTCTGAGTCTCAGCAGTTTGGTTAAGAGATGAGCATCTGGGGATGGGAGATAATCACTGAGATGTGGCCTCTGTGGGCACATGGTGGGAGGCCCGTAGTCAAATCTTCAGTTCCCAGAGGGAAAGCTACATCCAATTCTGGAGCTCCCCTCCGTTTCTCACGCCTGCTAGGATGCAGACTCCTGCTCTAAATCCTTGCTGACACTTGTGTAGATACCCAGGTCCAAGTACATTCTTGATTCTCTGATTTTTTTTCCAGTTGGTGGCGTTCACACCTGGGATATTCCCTCCTGGCTGCCAACAGCTTCCTGTTCATCCTCTGAGACTCGGCCCAGGGGTCCTCTTCCCTGGCTTCTCCCTTCCTCTTCTCCTCAGGTTCAAGGGCGTTTCCCTCCACCTTCATATCACACCATGCTGCTTCTCCCTCTACATAGGTAATGATTATCTGTGTATTTGGGAATGATATTCAAAACGTGTTACAAGGGCTGGGGCAGCACCAGCAGTGCACCATCAGAACACAACCTGGCTGCTCCCGTGTCGGGGCAGAGTGACCACCTGTCAGCCTGGGGAGAGGTGGCTTTCACCCACCAGAGTTAACCCTTTAAAAATAAGGGCTGTGTTTTATTCACCAGTGTATCACCAGTGCCCAGCGCATGGTAGATGTTTAATCAATGTTTGTGGGCTGGAACTTGGAATGGGGTGTGGGGCACTGCTCCAAGTCATCTCAGCCCATTACACATAATGGGCTTACACATAATGCTCACACCTACACCTTTCTGGGGTTTTGTGTAGCTGCATGAGAGTCAAACTAGGCAAATGTAAAAGAAAATGATATCCTGAGCTTCCAAAAGCTAATCACAAAGGCCCCCGTTGGTTTTAGGTTTAGGTAACTAAACATTTGTCAAATCCAGTCAGCTGTAGGATCCATTACCTTCAAGAACAGCTCCCCAGGGTCCAGTATTTGTAAACCCATCTTCCTATGTTTCGCTTACACAAGTATTACTACTTTTAAAAAATGTAACCAGTCCCACAGATGATATTTTTAAATGGCTGTTGAATTATGATGTGTCCCTCTTGTACTATTGGGGGTTAATTAAAAGAACATAAGCTTATTTTAAGAATCTATAATTGCTGAAAATTTCTCTTGGGACACCAAATTAAAAGAGGTTAGAAGGTCTTCAGGCAAAATCACACATCAGCCTCTCTCTCAAGGGATCAGTTACACCGTGCGGATTCATCACCAGCCAGCTCTCAGCTCAAAGGCAGTTCTAAGGAGAGTGCTACAGTAAATGGAGACTCCAAAGGTTGCTCCTGGTGTCGTATGGGCTTCTGCACTGACTTGGCTTTGTTTTCTATGCCAGACTAAAGATTCCTAAATAGGAATAGGTGCTAAGTGCAATGTGCTTTTGAGGGTTTTCTGGCTTTTTTTTTTTTTTTGGTTTTTGGTTTTTGGTTTTCAATTTTGTAGGATGTGCATATAGTCCGTTACAGGTCTAAAAAAGAAAAAGGAATTTCCAGAAGCATCATCCTTCAGCAATAAAATACTGTTTTAATCAAAAGTTTGGTTGTGCTACATAAAAGGGAAGTACACAAACCGTTCAGTGTGAAGTTTTAGGGTGAATTCTTTAATTCTATTGAAGAAGGAACTGATTTTGTAGTAACAGAAAAATTAAAGGGACAGATAGTCCTAGTGGCGGAGAAAAAGCAGAACTATGGATTTTGTAATGAAACACACATTTTTTCAAGACTGGTTGTCAGAAGGTAGGTTTTGAAGGCACACTATAGGGTAAAGCACTGGGAAAACCCAGAGAAAGATGATTCTATATCAAGTTGTAGACAAAGGAGAAAGTTGGACACTCACAACTTGGTGTTACCATGACTCCCCAAGAAGCTCATGGGCAAAGACACTACCTAGTTCTGGCCTTCAACTAGAAGACATACATCTGTCCAGTACCGCAGGGCTGCTGCTACCTCTTACAAAGTGACCACTGTTGGGCTGATTAATTAATTACCCAAAATGAAGATTTTGGAGAACACAGATGTGGGCATAAAAAATCAACTTGCTTTAGAAGAGGTGACAGGGAAGATTATATCTTACATACCCTAATACGTATAGGAACAAAGTGACAAACTCCCTTAATTGTTTCTCTGTAAGACATTACTAACATCCTCTGTTTTATCAAGATACACATATTATCAGACAAACTGCTCCAATAAAATGATCAGAGTGTAATATGCCCTAAAATTGAAGGAAAGCTAATTCTTACTATATTTTAATTGTGTACATTTGAACACAATTAAAACACATTGCCTCTATGCAATCAACATAAACCCAATTCTATGAACAATGTCTACCCATAGTAGTGCTTAATGAAATTTGGTTATTAGAAATTTACATCAAGGAAGAAAACCTGTAGTGGTTTACTTTATTGATTTTTACTTGATCTCTAATGTGTTAGAAATCTGTTAAATATTCCTAAATTTTACATGACACCCATACATTGTACTTACAAGTGTCAGGCCACTCTTGGCCATTCGTCATTTTCATTCATTAAAACAATCTCTATCATGATGATATCCTGTGGGATTAGGAATCTAATGGGGGGGGGCAAGAATCTTGAAAAAGTTAAGTTTGCAGAGTCAAAGTCAAAAGAACAATGTATTAAGAATGAAAAGTTAAAGCCAGTGTGGAGAAAATGGATGCAGAGGGTGACCTGGGGAGAGAGTGGCCCTTCTGGCAGTGTCACCCATCCCTCGCACTAGCTTTCTTTCATCTTGCTTTTACATCCCCCATTGCATCATCATAGTTACCTAGACACTGCGCCAAAGCAGGCTGACAGCCAGGTGTGGGTTGCAGGTAATTACAGTAACCTGAGATTTGGCCACTTGGTAGCCAATTTTCTCCTTATGAAGGAAGGTCTACTAATGATTTGTATAATCAGCATCTTCATTATTAATACCTCAGAGACAACCCCACCCAGAATGCCGGGAACTGGTGGGATGGGACGTGGGTGGTGCCAGTGTGTACCTTTAAATACCTGTTGTCACAGCACAGGCTCCCCTCTCTGAAGGCAGTTCTGAAGTGTTTTCAGCCTGTTCATTCTCTCTCTTGCACACCAGTCTGGTATTTACTCTCGATTTAACCTCTGCTCCCCCATCTGGAAGATTCTGGCCATCACCATGACTGAGGACGAGCTGTCTGCCTTGGTGGTGGATAATGGGTCAGGGATGTGCAAGGCAGGCTTTGGGGGTGACGATGCCCCGCGGGCTGTGTTCCCGTCCATGGTAGGTCGTCCCCGGCACCAGGGGGTCATGGTGGGAATGGGCCAGAAGGATTGCTATGTGGGAGATGAGGCCCAAAGCAAGAGAGGCATCCTGACCCTGAAGTATCCCATTGAGCATGGAGTGGTCACCAACTGGGATGATATGGAGAAGATCTGGCACCACACTTTCTACAACGAGCTCCGTGTGGCACCGGATGAGCACCCGATCCTACTCACCGAGGCACCCCTCAACCCCAAGATTAATCGGGAAAAGATGACTCAGATCATGTTTGAGGCTTTCAACACACCTGCCATGTATGTGGCTATCCAGGCTGTGCTGTCCCTCTATGCCTCGGGCCGGACCACAGGCATCGTGATGGACTCTGGGGATGGGGTCACTCACACGGTGCCCATCTACGAGGGTTATGCCCTGCCCCATGCTATTCTGCGTCTGGACCTGGCGGGCAGAGACCTGACTGATTATCTCATGAAGATCCTGACAGAACGAGGCTACAACTTCACCACCACAGCTGAGCGGGAGATTGTTCGCGATGTCAAAGAGAAGCTGTGCTACGTGGCACTGGACTTTGAGCAGGAGATGGTCAGTGCCACTGCATCCTCCTCACTGGAAAGGAGCTACGAGCTTCCCGATGGACAGGTGATCACCATTGGGAATGAGCGCTTTCGATGCCCAGAAGCCATTTTCCAGCCTTCCCTTCTGGGCATTGAGTCCAGTGGAATCCACGAGACAACCTTCAACTCTGTCATGAAGTGTGATGTGGATATTCGCAAGGATCTGTATGCCAACACCGTGCTGTCCGGAGGCAGCACTATGTATCCTGGCATTGCTGACCGGATGCAGAAGGAAATTGTAGCTCTGGCACCCAGCACCATGAAAATCAAGATCATAGCTCCCCCAGAGCGGAAGTATTCCGTTTGGATTGGGGGCTCCATTCTGGCCAGCCTGTCCACATTCCAACAGATGTGGATCAGTAAGCAGGAATATGATGAGGCTGGTCCTCCCATTGTTCACAGGAAATGTTTCTGAATGGGTTCCACACTAATGCATTTACAGTTTCTCCAATTTCTAGGTCATAGTGATGCTATCCACTTCCAACTGAGTCAAGGTAAATCATCCACTCTTGCTAGTGCGTAAACCAGCAAACTCATTTCCATCCAAGTACTGTGGGCTCCTGTCCAGCTAACCGTATCTTGACCTCTATCAACTTAAGCAGGATTCTGATCGTATTCTATGTTCTTTACCTCTAGGGTTCAAAGAAATGTAGACTTGCTTAAATGAAAATAAGTGACAAGGAGTAAAATAAGAAATGTCTTTTCAAAAATAATCACTAAAAAATAAAAAAGAAAGAAATGTCCTTTCAGAATGGAAAACTAGAATTTCCAAGTTTTAAACACTAGTTCTTGCTTAAAATATTTAACAATGGCAGTCTGTACCACCTTGTAAAAAATGCGTATGTGTTTTGCAAACATGTCTTATTAGTTAGAATTTTGGTTTTGTTTTACGTCTTTGTATAGAAATAATGAATTATATGGGTCAAAAATATCCATAAATACATTAAGCAATAGGGAAATAAAATACTCTATCCTAAAATATACTGACAAATCTGGCAATCAGAACAGCCAATGCGAATTTCTTAACTACCCAATAGTCAACGTTTTAGTAACTCCATATTTTGTTTCCCTCATTAAATAAGCATAATGAAACAGCAGCATTCCATTAATATTGCTTATAAATCAACTGAATTTTCAGCTCAGAATAGAGTTCTGCTGATCAAACACATATTTTAATGTTTACCTGGTCGAACTTCATTATACTTGTAAAACAGCAAAACTACTACAGATAAGGCCTAACTTCTAAAATGGAGAAAGAGATTGTAATTTCAAATTAATTAATGTCATTATGCCACAGTTTGACAAGGATAATTTTATTTCTATTGTTTAGCATAATAATACATGTCTTGAATAATTTCTGTAAGCTATGATTTTAGATATTTCTCTCATCAAGGATTTCACTGTGGGAAAATACAGTTGCAACATTTTGGAAATGATAAATTCTAGTATCAGTACAGTAATTCCAATTTTATTACTGGAAATATTTTGGAATAATTCTGTTTTATTATGTCCAGTAACTAGCAATACTTCTTTAAGCAAAGTGACTCTGATATACCAACATCTTAGAAAATATCAGTGTATCTTCCAATGTTAAAATTTTTTTAATGAATCCAATGATGATTTTCAACCAGTTTTAAGTACAAGCACATTTATTTCAGTCTATTCTGTGACTTCTCATTATATGAATATCCACGATATTTGTATTTTTCAGGGTTTTTTTCATGAAATTTTAGAATTTTGGGGGGTTGCTTAGTAAAGCATTATCATAGTCTCTTCTTCTCTTTCCCTTTTAGTTAGGAAGCTTAAACTTGTGTTTTAATCTCTAAATTGGAGTTTTTAAGCACTTTTTTTGCATTTTTAAAACTTATCAAAGAATTTGATTGTTTCTTATTTTCTTTAATATAACAACACAAATTTGAAAAATTGTGCTCTACACTGGAATTTGACACAACCTTGTAAAATGATTATAAATTAATAAAAAAAGTTTAAAATATATATATATAACAACACAATTTTCAATGCATTTAACCAAAATTAATCTCCAAAGGCACTTTATTTTATAAGACTTAGAGTTTCCTTTCTCCTTTAATTAATGTTTAATAAATTAAAATTTCTTCATTCTTGCTTTTTCTATTATTTCCCCTCAATTATTCCCAAAGAAATGTAGAATGATCCAGAGACGATCACTTTTTATATGTGTGACCTATTCATCCGTATGTTATTCTACACCTCGTACCTTTGACCATGTAAACATTTAAAAAGGGAAAGATGGCTAGTAGATAAGATTATAAATTCCTTGTTAGGTTTTAGTGGATGAACTGGTCTTCAGGTAATTAGTAGGCAGAGATAATAGCAATAATAATAATATCTTGGATTTATATGTGGCAATATTTTCTGTTCGTAGAGTAGTTCTCACAAACACTATGACCTACATTCTCAACTACCAGAAAAAAACATATCTCCCCATCCACAGAAAATTTCTGGGACAGGTAAAATGAACATCCAAGAGAGAGAACTATTGAGCCCTGGATCATTAACGGAAAATAGAAATTCCATAACACAAACAAATTTAAACCTAGGGTCTTTGGATAGTCTTCTGTTCATCAACATTGACTGACTGATGGATAGATTTTATGAGGAAACACTCTATCTCGCAATTTTCTATTTTAGACTCCATGCCATCTTTCTAATTAATATAATTATCTTGGTATTCACCAGTGGTTCACCAGATGGCACAGTACTGAGACAGCCTTCACAGATGAAACTAACGCTACTGTAAGTGACTCCCACCCTCCCTCAATGATCCACCCTGAGTAGCAATGTAGGGCTGGGGCTGCATCACAGTCCCCTCAAAATGATTACTTCCTAATCGCAGGTAACATTTTTCTGAAATGCACATATCCAAAGCCAATACCTACACTTCTTCCCTAACTTTCAGATGTGCTTATTTTTCAATCGTGAGATAAAGCCGTACGGACACAGGTTGAGCCTCACACTCTGTAATAGAGAAGAGTCTAGAAATGAGCACATTTTCCAGATAATCAAAGAATAATCTTTTGAGGTGACAGGGCCTTACCAATATTTATTCACTCATTTTGCAGCTATATTCAATGCCCTATGCTAGAATTTACTAGAGAAGTGGAGTAAAATTCAGGGATGTTGGGGAATTTACAACCCAGTAATGAGGGAAGTCACATGCAGTGGAAAACAGTGTGATCTAAGGGTGGTTCATGGACCAAACATGGTCCTCGGTACTATGATAATTCTCATAAGGACAGTTCAAGCCAGGGTGATTGAAGGAGGGTTCAGAGAGTAGATGAAGTCCCTGAGTTAAGTTTTAAAGCACACACAAGTTGTACTTCTGAACATAATATCTTTCCTTAGATGGTTTAGGCGCCATTATGATCACTATTTATTGGGTTGGTAAGGCAGTTAATTCGTATTTTGAATGTCTCCATTAAAATATGCCAGAAACTGTAAAAGAAGTGCGTAAAATTTAAGGCTCAGTTAAATTATGACCTCTTCTACAGAGCCTTTTCTAGCCTTCCTTCCCCCTTTTCCAAGGAAAAGTGATAAGTTCCTCCTTGGTGCTCCCACTCTATCATTTGCATGCATACAGTATCGCACCCATAACACATGTCCACACTCTCCCACCCTCACCCATCAGTGAGCACCTGGAGGACAAAGACAGGGACAGTATTTATCCACCTTTGAACCTTCCAGGATTTTCTTAATGTCAGGCACGTAGGATTAACTCAGTAAGCACAGTTTGAATGAATAAACGAGTGAATTCATAGAGTCTGATTTACATCATGAACACCACTGTTCTGCATTATTCTTACTGTGCTACTTCTTACCACTGTATTCTCAGCTCCTGTCTGTTAGTGTCTGTCACTTTTGTTGTGTTCTTTTCCCTCTGAGGCATGTTTTTTTCTTTTTCATTTTTTTTTTGTCTCTTTCCTTTCCCATTCACTTCTCCTATGCCTCTCAACCTACAGAGCTGGATTTTTAAAGTTTTTGCTTGTCAATAAAAGTTTCCCACTCTTCTGATCATGTTGTGGAGGGTGAGATAGCCATGCTGCTGCTGAAATTTTAGTTCAAAAAGAAAGAGAGAAGAAGAAAGGAAGAGGAAAGAGAGAAAGAGAGAAAGAAAGAGAGAAAGAGAAAGAAAGAAAGAGAGAAAGAAAGAAAGAAAGAAAGAAAGAAAGAAAGAAAGAAAGAAAGAAAGAAAGAAAGAGGAACAAAGAGAGAAAGAAAGAGAGAGAGGGAGAGAGGGAGAGAGGGAAAGAATGAGAAAGAAAAGAGGGCCCTTCAGTGAGCACAATAGTATATTCAGCTCTTCTAATCTACTCACATTCTTTCTGGTATTTTTCTCTCTTTTTCTAAACTCCAAATTGCTCTAGAGGTGTGTTTCAGGCATCTGAGTCCCTAATAACTCAAACATTATAATATATTGAAAAGTCCACTTTTCTGTTAAGTATTCACAGCCTCCTTCCAGAATTTACAAAGGATTCTTTTCAAAAACTGTTGTTTGAAGTTAGGAACTAAGCATGTGGTTTGCCCAATAGTGCTTCCAGATGTTGAGAAGTATAGTTGGAATGTCTTTAGGGACATATATATGTATCAAGAGAGAGACTGCTCATTAAAATTAATTGATACTTTAAGACTTCCTTTTTAAATATGAAAGGATCTGTCTGAACTATAGCTATCATTTTTTTTTAAAAGCTAACACCATAAGTAATCAAAACTATAGAGGCTCCTGGAGCTGCCGGCCTTGTTTTTCATCCCATTCCAAATCTGCTGTTTCAACTACCTTAAAATTTTAGATTCAGTTAAATCTAGTCAACAGACATGCCAGTATGATATGATGACAGATATTTTATCTAGACAACACCCTAACACCACTTGAAAAATGGAAAATCTTATTTAATTGGCTATCTGACAACATGTAAGTCAAAAGCCAAGTTGCTCTCTCCGGAATTGGGACTGAGGCATTTATAACCATATACATGCCATATGTCACAGTGTCTAGTGAAGAAGGGAGAAGATATGATACACAGACACAGCAAGAAGGATTCAAGTTTCACTCATACCTCCTTCATGGGGGTATTGCAGTAAGAGAGGTTTTTCCTAGCTACTTTACCCGTTGGGGGTGAACAGAGAAAGCCAGACACCAACATGGTCATGACTCCTGTATATTCTCTATGACCCACTGAGAACAGCCCCAAATATCATCCCCTATTCTTTTCAGTGAGAATTAGTAGCTATTCAACATTGTTTATTTTTTCCATATCTAGATCATGAGGGAAAAGCTGACCCCAATAATGAAGACAAAGTTATGTTCACCAGCGAGAATTCTGGGACCCTCTAGGACAATCCACAGTGTTTATAGTTCAGATATGGAAGGTTTCCACAGAAACACAAGCTTTTTATAAATCTTCAATTACCTAACTAATAAGAGACTACTGTATCTGAAATCTATAACTTCTAGATAATGTGTTGATAAAATGCCAGAAGAAATAATAAATGTGTCTCTATTTATTATAAAAAATGATATTAATGATGAGAATGAAAACATTACATCCTTGGCTAAATAGTCAATTTTATCAAAATGGAAGAAATTATCTGCAGCCAAATAAATACAAAATATACAACTTTTAAATTTTGATGGACTCAGAGAAACAAAAGTTGAAACAGAGAAAAAGAAAGCATATCAATAAAAAACAAGAGACTATAAAAATAACAAGAACATTCTTCCCATTTACTCGGTCTCAGAACTACTTTATTAATGTTTGACACTAGGTGTGGCAGTTAATGATTTGACTAATCAGCCAAAACTACAAATAACAAAAAATAAAATTATCAAATCTCTACAGCAGTGTGAAATATAAATCAACAAAACTTTGTGACCAGTTGGAATATCAGGGAGAAGGAGAAAAGAGAAAGAAGGATTTTAGACTATAAATGGTGCCTATCAGTATGTTTAAACTATCACCAATTTGAGTAGTTATTACTTTCATATTTGAGTCACTGTGGCCAAGAATTATAGCCTGCCTCTTTGACTGCTCTTCCAACATTGGCCCCATAACAGGACTGACCATCCACAGAGTCAGGAAGGCTGGATGGTTATGTTAGACACTGATTACCTCATTTGGTTTTTGCTTGACTTTTAGCTAACCAGCAACTGAGCACTTCTTTAATTTAGCAACTATTCCCTTTTGTGTGAATGCGAACAGGAGGCAAGGCCCAGTCTCATACTCATTCACTAGCAGGAAGAGCCTGGACTCAGTCTATCAAGTGCTCCAATCTGAGATTTTGACACTTGGAATCTGAGAAAGTGGCCCAAATATACAAGAACTATTGAGAAATTATTCACAGCCTCAGTGACACAGGGGGGCCACCAATGGCTATGGCATGGTCCCATGGTAGAATCCTAACAGACTACTGGCATGACTTTAGCTAATTTTCTTACTTTCTAGACTCTTCACTTAGTTTCTATTTTTCCAAAGATGGAATTTGTGAGCTACTCATCATTCTTCCAGAAATTTCCTTTCTGGCTTGAACTATCTAAAGGCAATTTCTGTTACTTAAAATCAAGTATGCTGATTGAAACAAATTTTGATACCACGGAATGAAATTGCAAGTAATAGACCCTTAGAGAAATGGGCTAATCTAGGATTGATCACCTGGCCCAATTCAGGCTGAAGGCAGTAAAAATACCTCTAGAATTCATAAAGGGAATCTCGCAGCTCATGGCAAACAGTGGAGAAATAGTTCATTAAAATATCTCCTGGGATAACTTGAAATGAAGTGCTTTATGAGGGCCAGGCTATGGGGGACTAAGCTTTCACTGCCATGAAACAATATAAAGGATATGAGTAATTCTGTGGAGAGGGGTGGATGGCTTCTTCTATTGGCTCTGACCAGTTTAAAAGAGAAAATAACAGTCAGAATCACTAAATATATCTCAAAACACAGACTGAGCTAAAAGAATCTTTTATCTCTTAGAGGCATAAAGTTGAAGTACCTAAAAAACAAACTCCACTGATCGAATTCACAGATCCATCAGGATTTTCATGTTACACGTAGAGCAGTGGTGGAAAAG